AAAAAAAAAAAAAAAGTAGTTTACTATAATTTTTCTTTCTTTCTTTTTTTTTTTTTATAGACAGTATCACTCTGTCGCCCAGGCTGGAGTGCAGTGGCATAATCTCAGCTCACTGCAGCCTCAACCTCCCAGGCTCAAGTGATCCTCCCATCTCAGCCTCCTGAGTATCTGGGACTACAGGGATGCACCATGACTCCAAGCTAATTTTGTTGTCTTTTTTTTTTTTGCATTTGTTTGTAGAGATTGGGTTTCACCATGTTGCCCAGGCTGGTCTTGAACTCCTGGACTCAAGCAACCTGCCCACCTTGGCCTCCCAAAGTACTGGGATTACAGGCATAAGCCATCACGCCTGGCCTGTTTACTATAATTTTTAAATAATCATATATGTCAGGACTGGAGCCTCCCAACGAAATTGTGAGTGCCAGTTTTCAAGTGGGTCTGAATACGGGTTCACAGTATTGCTACAGAAAAAGTAGCAATACTAAAAACAAGTATTTTTTCGTGAGCAGTAATGGATTGAGATTTTAACATAAATGCTGATGTGATCAAACACTATATTGGAAAATCAGAGGTTGAACCCACTGTCACTTTAGCAAATTATGAGAAATCACGTGGCATGGAAGAAATGTGAGAAGACTAGATACAGGCAAATAAGTGTGTTGGGGGAGATGATTTCCATAATGTTAGACTGAAGACCTGGACACAGACTACTGGTAGCATACAGCAAGGGATCTTCAGAAACAAGAATGATTCATTAGGAAAGGAATCTTATACAGATAAAGTAATTCTAAATTTAAGAAACACATTTGGCAAAATTATCCACAATCTTTCTGTGGGTAAAAATTCATATGTGGCCAGGTGTGGTGGCTCACACCTGTAATCCCAGCACTTTGGGAGGCTGAGGTGGGTGGATCACTAGAGGTCAGGCGTTCAAGATCAGTGTGGCCAACATGGTGAAACCCTGTCTCTGCTAAAAATACAAAAATCAGCTGGGTGTGGCAGCTCACGTCTCTAATCCCAGCTACTCAGGAGGCTGAGGCAGGAGAATCGCTTGACTCTGGGAGGTGGAGGTTGCAGTGAGCTGAGATCGCGCCACTGCACTTCAGGCCTGGGTGACAGAGCAAAACTCTGTCTCAAAAAAAAAAAAAAAAAAAAAAGCATATGTATGATGCAATTAGTGGATTTACTGTTTGGTGAACAACTGCTGAACCAAATGCTGATGGAACACATGTGAACCAAGGGGAAGTCTCCTGTGGTATGCCTCAAGGACTTCGCTTGACAACAGCAAATGTCATATTTGTATGAAATACTGTTGATACAAGAGTTACCCAAGAGAAAATAAATAAAAGCCAGCACTCTTCCCCTCCCAACCCTGATAGCACCCAAAACTGCTTTAAAACGTGTTTTTCATTACTACAGTTTTTATTACTGTAGAGGTGTTCTGTGGTCTGGAACTTAAATATTGAATGTTCTAACAAATAAAAAGAAATGAAGGTGCAAGCCTTATAACCTTTCACTGAGGGACATAAAAAGAGTCTGAGTCAATGGAGAAAAATAGTTTGCTCGTGGATGAGGAGACTTAATACTGTACAGACGTCACTTCTCTGAAACTTACTCAGTTCGATGCAAGTCCAATAAAAATCCCAAGCTCATTTGTGGTTACTTGGCCTATTAGTTCTAAAACTTACAATAAAGGGTTGATGTGGTTTGGATGTTGGTCCCTCCAAATCTCACGGTGAAATGTAATCCTCAGTGTTGGAGGTGGGGCCCGGTGGGAGGTGTTTGGATCATGGGGGCGGATCCTTCATGAATGGCTTGGTGCTGTCCTCATGATAATGAGTGAGTTCTCACTCTGAGTTCTCGAGAGATCTGCTTGTTAGCACCTCCCACCCCCTCTCTTGCTCCCGCTCTTGCCATGTGATGCACTGGCTCCCCCTTTGCCTTCTGCCCTGAGTGGAAGCTTCCTGAGGCCCTCACCAGAAGCCCAGCAGATGTTGGTGCCATGCTTGTACAGCCTTCAGAACCATGAGCCAAAATAAATGACTTTTCTTTATCCATTAAACAGTCTCAGGGATTCCTTTATAGTAACTTGAGAGTGAACTAACACAGGGTAATGGCATAAATAGTCAGATAACTGGCATACATAGTCAGATAACTTTAAAAATAAACAAAACCGGAAGAACAAAGAAACAGGACTCTTCTACTAGCTATCAATCATACCCCAAAACTATGCTAATAAATTCCATGGGTATTGGCACAAGTATAGACAAATTAATCAATGGCAAAGAAGAAAGAACCCACAAACACACCTCAGCATGTGCAAGATAGCATATGATAGAGCTGACACAAATCAACAGAGAAAGGCTGACTACCATCTGACTTTTGGCTGGAGAGAAATAAAATTAGATTCCTACCACATACCAGGCCTCCAAATAAACCCAATATGGAACAAAGGCATAAACTTGAAAGTTCTAACTCTAAATGTTGGAAGAAAACAGTGGGAACTCTATTATCCTGAAGTAGAGAAGGATTTCTTAAACAAGGTAACAACAGAATAACCCATAAAGGAAATGATATATAGATTTCACTGCAGCAAAATTTAAAACTTGTTTTAAGAAGACATTATAAACAAGGTCAAGAAATAAGAGACAGACTGGGAGAAGATACATGCAAATATTTATAAAGTCAAAAGATTAGTAATCTTCAAAGACCAACCTTTGTTAAAACTCTCTGAGCTTTCTAAGATCTATCCCAAAGGCCACCTCCTCCACGAAGCCTTCATGGATGACCCTTAGGCACATGTGAGCATCCTCTTCTTTGACATCTAGATGCCCTTGAGGCGCTCCTACTCACAGCTTCAGAGGACAGGGGTTCACTGGGGCCTGACTGTGAGGGGCTGCCAGCAAAAGCTCATGCAATCTTGGGGTGTGTGAGTGGAGCCCGAGTGTGTGAACAGTCACACAGACTCAGCAGCACCACACTGACACCGAAATCTCTTGGAGGGCAAGGGGCCTTTTGTAAACCATGCCATATGAAAAATCGAAAGGAGGGCAGAATGTGAACCAAGGGACCAACGTTAGAAGGAAGTAGTTGTTTTGAGTGCAGTGTTTAAGGAAGAATATAATAACCAGAGCTCTCTCACTTAGCAGTGACCTGTCCTTGCCTGGAGGGTTCTATAAAAGCTGAATATGGTGCCAGGAATGTTGTACAAAGAGTTACTGCCTAAGTGCAAAGTTGAGGCTGGGTTAGAGAGAGAAATGTAAGGGTAACTTTTTCTAAAATTTATTTTTGGTAGAGATGGGGTCTCACCATGTTGCCCAGGCTGGTCTCAAACTCCCGGCCTCAAGCAATTTTCCCACATTGACCTCCCAGGTTGCTGGGATTATAGGTGTGCTCTGCATAGGCAACTTCTAATGTAAAAGATTCAATGTTCATATTAGCTGAAGAATGAAGAATGGCTATAAACTCTTTAAGGCTTGGGACCATCTCTTATGTACCTAGAGGCAGCCCCTGGAATATATACAAGGCCCTCAATATACAGTTGAACAAATGAATATTTCTATATTTCCTATTGACTAAGCTTGGGTTCCATGTGGTTCAATAGTCACACAAGCTGATAAGAAAATTCAGGTGTTGATGTGCTGCAGGTAACAGCGGAGAAGACGTTTTCCATGAATCTTAGATCATGAACAACCTGTGTTGCTGGGCACTCAAGGGCTTGCTGCCAACATTGTACTGAAACTAACATGAGCTCCTCCGCTGGTCAACCAATGCCTGGCAAGGAGCAACCTTTTTAAGAAATAAAAGTTGGTGTGACGCTGGAAGATACTTCTTGCAGGAAAGAAGACACAAGGCAAGCCCAAGGACCATGCTTTGTCAGAAGTCAGCTCTCAGAAGGGTGTGCTCCCCAGGCAGTAGAACAGCAGTTCTGGGAAGCAGGCAATGTTCCGGTTGCATGCAGTCTGTGGCCTGCACCTACCTCAGCGCGGCCACTCCAACCCTCCATGGGATCTGCACAAAGGAGCTTCGTGGCTATGTGAGGTAGGAGGGCTCAGAGAGAATGCAGCCTCTCCTTATGTGTGGTTAAATCATATAACCTCCCTGAATTTGTTTCCTCATTTCTAAGATGAGGATGTGAATACTTCAGTATACATCACTGTACTGCACACATTGAATCAGTGTAAAACGCAAGCACGTTGCAAATGTCATGCTATACAAATCTTAAGTAATGTTATTATGGAGTGAGAATGGTAGGGAGGACTGAAAGAATTACATTTTGCTTGGAAGTACAGCAAAACAAGATACTGTTACTCATAACACATTTAATGAACAGAAAAATGCATTCTTTACTGAACTCTAGATCATAATTCAAAAATAAAGAGTGTGATTTTTCTGTTAAGATAATAATTTAAAAAACTCACATGGGAGCAAAGTAAT